GTCATTGATAGTGTTGGGAATGTTTTAACTCTTTTACTGATTCTTTTTCTCATTCGTCAGTTTGTTCATTCATTTATTCATCCATGCATTCATTCTCATTTCCTCATTGTCTCACTTTTTCACTTATTTCAATACTCTTTGCTTCTCCATATCTCATATCTTACGCTATATGTTTTCTATTTTTCTTATATTTTTATTTGACTCATTTAATCATTCACTCGCTCACTCATTCACTCACTCATTCATTTTCTCACTCACTCACTCACTCATTCACTCACTCATTCACTCACTTACTATTTTACCAGCACAACGACCACAGTAAATCTTGCCGTGTATGAAGCTAATACACACGCGATAGAGTTACTTATCGTCATTAAATTTTGTTAAAAAATGTTTGTGTTGTGTAGTGTGTCTGTGTGTGCGTGTTTTAATCAGTGCAAGTACATACGTGTGTTTGTGTGTGAGGTGATATTTGTACGTGTGTGTGTGTGTGTGTGTGTGTGTGTGTGTTTTTGTGTGAGGTGATATTTGTACGTGTGTGTGTGTGTTTGTGTGTGAGGTGATATTTGTACGTGTGTGTTTGTGTGTGAGGTTTATACGTGTGTGTGTGTGCTTGTGTGAGGTGATATAAGTACGTGTTTGTGTGTGTGTGTGTAAGTGTGAGAAAAATTAAGCCGGAAGTTGACAATCACTGTGACATTACCGTCATTATGACGTCATCCTCACGATCATCATCCTCACTACAATGATGATGATTTCAAATAGTCATTATGATAAAGGTGATGAAGTGTTGTGATAGATAATTAATCACTCTGTACAATTGGTTGCGTTTGTTATGATAACGCATGTTAAGTTATAATGACGATGATAGTGATGTTGATTCTGGAAGGTGATAAGGATGACGATGATGAAGATGACGACAATGATGATACAGAGTAACAATGGTAATAATAATAATGATGATGATGAGGAGGAAGACGATGATGATGGTGAGGATGAAGGTGATCAAGTGTCGTCATCAGAATACTTATGATAGCCTTCGAGTGTTTAACGACGATGAAGATGACGGTGATGAAGATGATGACAACGACGAGGACGATGTTGAAGAAAATGATGACGATGATGAAGAAGATGATGACGATGATGATGGTGATAAAAAAAATGACGATGACGATGAAGAAGATGATGACAACATTACTTACTTGGAAGATGATGACGATGATGAAGAAGATGACGACGATGACGATGAAGAAGATGATGACAACGACGACGACGATAATGGTGATGAAGAAGACGGCAACGACTATGATGATGAAGATGGTGATAATAATTATGATAATAACAATATAATAATAAAAACAAGATTGATAATACCAATTACAAGGATGTCAGTGAAATGCGGTAGGCGCTTAGAAGGGAAAAAATTTTTACGTGCTTGCAACACACGCGCGCACACATGCACACACACACACACGCACACACACAGATACAGATACATACACGCACATACACACATACATACATATGTGCGTGCATAACGGTCTTACTCACGTGATCGCATTACTTGGTTGCTATGGAAACGTGCACTGGAGCATGCGTTTGAGACGAATGGATGAAGGAATGGATGAATGAATGGATGGATTGATTGATTAATTGATGGCAGATTTTATGGAGGACTGGTTAATTGGATTAATAGATGAATATATGGATGGATGAATTGCTGGATAGATAAGTGGATATATTGATGAATTGAATGCGTTTTTGTGTTTATATATTTGTGATAGGTAAAAAATTTTACTTTAAAAAAATTCAGATGTTCAATTGCTTCGGTGGAATTTGAGTTTAAAAAAATTAATTGAAAACATTAAAAAACGCTCAGATGAGAATTTGAACGTTGATCCGAAAAGAAGAGCCGGCAACGATTGATTACAAGATGAGTGGAGATTTTGAGATTAGGCAGAAATAACAAAACGTTTGCCAGATTATAGTGAATGCTATAAGTGTTACGATCAAAGTTACTGATTTTACGCTGTTGGCTCACAAACAACCATCTACATTTTCAAAGTTAAATCTCACATGATGTTAATTCACGTACAATCACACACACACAAACATCACATACATACACATATACGCAACACACACACGTTCACGCATACACCACGCACGACAGACATATATCTTATTTCTTTTTTCTACTCATTATTTGCTGGCACACGTGCTACTAATGACCAAGTCACGTACCGTATAAATTATATGCGTGTACGTACGTACGTGTATATGCGTATGCATATGTGTGTATTTATGTACGTGTATATCATGTATTGTATATTTGTATGTGTATTTTTGCGATTGTTTGTACATGTTTGTATGTTTTTCTGCTGCATACTACATTTTTATAGATAAACACAAAAACAAACACACACAAACATACACATGCACACATAAACCCACACATACATACACACACACGCCCATTTAGACTAGAACTCAGGTAATTTATAACGACTTCTTGGTAGAAAATAAAATTTAAAAAAATTTTTCTCATTAAAATAAAATTTTTAAAAATATTTCCCATTAAAAGTTGTTGACTTTTCACCAATCTTTAGATAGTTTCCATGATGGTCAAGTGGGCCGTAAAATCATTCATGTTTCTAGAAAAAAAGAAGATGTAATACACGTAAAACACACATATATCCACATTTCCACATTTCAAGTAGTACATTTTAAAAAATACACACACAGACACGTACACACACGTACACACACACACACACACACACGTACAAACAAACATGCCATAAACACAAACACACGTATATATATGCACATACAAACAAAAGCATAGACAATCAGACATTTTTGTTTAAACACATCAACGAATGCAAATAATATAAATACATAATTTTTGTATACATGTATATATATATGTGTGTATGTGTGTGTATGAGTGAGTGTGTGTGTAAGTGTGTGTGTATATGTGTGATTTTGAGACAGCATGTAGTACACTAGGGTGGGTTGCTAATGATAATAATAATAATAGTTAATAGATTGAATGTCATCACTCTGGTTGGTTTCCGTGAACAATTTAAATTTCATTCATCTGTTTTAATCTCTTATCTAATCCGAAGAAGTCTATCTATGTATGTTTATGTGTCTGCATTAAGTGAGTGAGTGAGTGAGTGAGAGAATGGTAAATGAGAAAAATGAGAAAGTGAATAGGAGAGAGAGAGTGAAAATGAGAAAAAGAGAGATTACGAATAGGAAGAGTGTGGCTGGCGTACGTATATAAGACTTGTTGGCGTCTTTGAGACTCACAGCCAACCCAACTGCTCTCTTTTCATTCTTTCTCTACTTTTTCATTCATTTATTTATTTATTCTTTCAATCAATCTACGTTCGTTCATCTACGTTCGTTTATCTACCTATCTCTCTCTTTATTTAAAAAAAAAGTTTCAAGCGAAAAAGTGTTTGGTTGGCTGCGGATTGGATAAATTAAAATTTTCAGCTAAATTTTTTTGAAATTTTAAAGGTACCTAAGATTTAATATTTGGCAATAATTGGAAATATATATATTGTAACAAACTTAAAATATTTTGCTTCTTAAAACCTCATCTGCAGTTTTGAGTAAAACTTTTGGTTGACGAAAATTTAAAGAGAAAAAGAAAAAGGAGGAAAAGGAAGATGTCCTGTCCGAGTCCCAATCCAGATCCCTACGGAATGAGACTGGTTGAGTTCTTGTTTTGTGTTGTTTTATTTTTTAAGTTTTTGTACGTTCTTGTGCGTCTTCAGATGTCTGCGAGTAAATGTGCTTTGCTCTTTTTGTGTCTGTGGCGTTATTCAATTTGTGCAGCTCTCTTTCCAAAATATATACAGAAATTTTTGTTATAAACTCGTTATTGAACTTATCATTGCAATATTTCAACAAATATATATATATATTCGTGTTAATGTTGATGAAGAAGTTATTTTAAAGTATCGATTCTTTTATGTCTGACTCGATCATTCAGGCGTGTCAAACACCCATTGCCCTCTGTCCCGCCAACATGTTGCAGTTATTTTTAACATCATCCCCCGGCAAGCATATTAATACGTCTTAATGCTTCACAAGCTAAATTAGATGAATCATACGAATGTACAAATATACATACACAAATACATATTTTGCTTCTTTTTCGTCAACAAATACATATATATACAAATACGCATACATTTAAACCTGTACAAATATGAATTGCTTACACACACACACACACACACACACAAATATCTACAAACACCTATGCCAAGATATCAATACAAACACTAATATATACATTATTTAAACAAAAGTACACACACACATGTATACACACATGCATACAAAACATACTTAGATATACAAAATAAATAAGTAAATACAACGTATGAAAACAAATATAACCATACTGATAAAACAGAAACACATGAATATGAATAGTTAATGATAAGTACAAGTTATCAATGATAAGGTTATCTTTAAGATGAGTTCAACAATTTTAAAACTTGAAACATACTTACTCGAATGCATATAAAGTCATCATCATCATCATCTTCGTCAACATCGTTATCAAAACCATTAATATAATTTGTTAATAAACTTACCACCAATGTCGCTTCCCGTCTAAAATCCAACTTGAGACATCTAGTCTGTCTAGTCTAGTCTAGTGCTGCAACGAATCCAAAAACACATCAACATCAATAACAACCAATAATTTAAAAAAACATAGAAACAACAACAACTGCAATAGCATAGCGACAGCAGCAGCAACAACAACAAAAACATGGCAAAAACAAATACAACAAAGAAAGCAACAGCAATAAAATGACAACAACAACAACAGGGTAGCAATAATAATAACAACAACAACAACAGTAAATTCATAGCAACCAAACAACAACACAGTCATTATTTCCTTACTCGTCTCATTACATGAACATCATCATTATTGCCATGCGTGACAGTTTGAAGAAAAAGGCAAAATGGCGATCTATCACGTGATTTACAGACCGGAAGTAGATGCCAACTACGTCATTGGCTCTTTTATTATAAATTATATAGCGTCGAGTTTTATTTTTATTAGCCTCTTTGATTATGATAATCATTTTTATCATATAATTTAATTTGATTAAGCAAGTTTTTGTTCTTAATATGTTGCTTGGATTAGTTATTTGAGATAAAGATTGTTATTTTATTGACGATGTCATTTAATTTGTTGTTGATGATGTTGTTGATGATGTTGTTGATGATGTTGTTGATGATGTTGTTGATGTTGTTGTTGATGTTGTTGTTGATGATATTGTTGATGTTGATGATGTTGTTATTGATGTTGTCGTTATTGATGTTGATGTTGTTGATGATGTTGTCGATGTTGTTGTTATTGATGTTGTTATTGATGTTGTTGTTGTTTATGTTGTTGATGTTGATGTTGTTGATGTTGATGTTGTTGTTGAGAGTCACGTTACAACGACGTCATCAATCATTGTTAACGTGCCCTGTAATGTGCTCTGTGCACGCCAACGAATTAGCAAAGAAAGTAAAAAAAAAGTAAATAAAATTTCTATAGCGCACGCACATAACAACAACAATTACAACACTAACAAACAATGTCAACACCATCAACCACACAGACATTCGTGATGTAACTTTAGTTTATAATTAGTTCATTAAAATTGTATCACCATCACTTTTTCATCATCGTCATCAGCATATTTTTATGCTCATCAACATTTTCCATATCATTACCATCATTTTCCATACCACCATCATAATCATCATCACCATCATCATCATCATCATCATTTTCTGAAGCATCATCATCATCATCATTTTCTGAAGCAGCATCATCATCATCACTTCAAATACAAAATGGCTCTCGAAGAAGAGGAACAAATCAATTAAGAGCGGCAAGACGTTTTAATGATGGCTGCCTCTCTGCCGGGGTTAATCCGTGGATTGAAAGAAGGAAGGAAAAGAAACAAGAAAAAAATAGATAGATAGACAGACAGAGAGGAAGTCACACTGGCAGACAGACAGATAAACAGACAGATAGATAGATAGTTAGGGAGAGAGAGAGAGAGAGAGAGAGAGAGAGAGAGAAATGTATAAATGACAAAATCAAAAAGAATGTTTATTTATAATCATTAAAAAATAAGTCGAAAGTGTAATTGACGTCCTATACTTTAAGCGATGGATCGCTAGCAGGTAAAATAAATAAAACGTAAAATCTTTATTTGGAGGAAGAAGAAAAAAAGATGAAAGAAATAACAAAGAGAGAGAAAGGAGGAGAGAGAGAGAGTGAGGATGTAAAAACAAAGAGAGAGAGAGAGAGAAAGAGAAGAAGAAAGAAAAAGGAAAGTAAGTATATTGTTGCTTGGATGTCCTCTTAATCTCCCAACTCTCGTTAACGCAGATAATATGTTGCACGTGTCATCAATCCACATTTCGCGGACAAACTCCACCAGAAGAAGTAGTAGTAACTCAGGAAGAAATAATTACACATTAGCTATATACTTCTACTTGATAATCTTTGTAATGTAGGTTAGTATTTTGTATCAAAATGTAATGAAGTTTTACTGAGTTACGAAATAATATTTTTTAGGCAAAAATGTTTACGTACAAAAAAAATTACATACAAATAAGTTTTCTTTTTAGAGGGTGGCGTGTGGCTCGAGTTTTTTTTATTTTCTAAAAAATTCTAATTGGAAAAAATACATCAGCATTTTTGATGCATTATAAACGTCATTTAAACATTTCTATTTTTTTTAAACTCTTTCAGAAAGCAATTCATACGAAGCACATCATTAGTACCGAATACAATATGGCAATATACAATACGCAGTATGTACTAAATTATACAACACAATGCAATACAATAAATTAACAATATGGAATGCAAACACAATACACACGCATGCACACAAACACACTCACACACAAACAAACAAACACTCACACAATTATTTATACATTAAATACACAATACAAACATGAACAATATAAATAACCATATAATACAACAATACATAATAAATACCAAACAATACAATTATGTACTCTTATATCTCATATACACTATCTAACACTCCGCGTTTTTGCGTTCAATCTATGGATTCTTTGGAAAGAGAAATGGACTTATGGAAGCACATACAAAAATACACACACACACAGACAAACAAACATACTTACACACACACACATGCATACAAACACACACGTACATATACATACATACACAGACGTGTACGTTACACAAATGGGGGTAATTAAAAACAAGCGTCCAACAAAAGCAACATTCATCATTATTTGCTTTTTCTGTTACAAAATAATTGGAAAATTTAATTAAGTCGGGTAATAATGTAAGTAGTTTAATTAAAGGAATGAACCAATAGGTGCATATATGTATATGTGCGTCCATTTAATGTTCGTTCATTTTAAGTTCAATTTTTTGGACGTATTTACTCAAAATTCGAAAGAGAACATAAAAAAGAATACACACACGTGCATCTCTTATCTACGCATGCTAACGCTTGCATTCGTACTCACAGACACACACACACACACGTGCATAAACACACACGTACATAAACACACAGCCACATAAACACACAGACACACGTACACATTCACGTACGCAATATTAATTATTTTACGTCCACTAGATACGCTTTTCGGCGCAGGGTCGCCTGTGACGTGATGGCAACCTTTGACCTCCATTATTTTCCTTTTACCATCCTCACACACAGACACACACACACACAGACACACACACACACACACACACACAGACAGACACATACACAGACCAACATATACACCTACATTCACCGACGTATGTTATCGCTTGTTGTCAGTTCATTGTTGTTGCTGCTGCTTCGGAATAACAATGAAAAGTTCTTCATGTATTGCTTGTCGGTATGTCGGTCGGTCGGTCCGTAAATCGGTATAACAATGGGGAGTGGCTTATGTGTTGTTTTTTGTATGTCAGTATGATGTCGGTGTATCGGTTTAATAATGAAAGAATGGCTAGTCCGTAAGACACTGTTTATTTATTTAGAGTTGTGATCGTTTGTATTTTGTTGTTCAAGTTTGCCCGTGTGTCTTCAAAATGATAGCAGTTTATGTCTGTGTGTGTACGTGCACTTTAATTTGCACATACACGCACACACGCGCAAACATACACATAGGTACACACGTACGCATGGAAGCAGTTGTTTTTTTACGTGCGTTTTTTCGTACGTGCTTCTGTGAAAAGTTTGGAAAACTGCGCAATAATATTTTATTATTATTATTACTGTTGTTGTTGTTGTTATTACTATTATTTCTTGTTGTTACTTTATCATTTTTGTTATCATTTCGAAATGTCACTATATAACCATCATCAATACCACAGGCAACAAATGTGACCTACCAAGCGAACCAGGTGTCAAGGGCAAAGAGAGGTCAAGTACTTGGAACGAAAGGTGGATTTAGGGGCTGTACCATATGGTTTACCGGTTGGTGATGATAATGATGTTGTTGTTGTTGATGATGATGATGATAATGATGGTGGTTGATGATGATGATGGTGGTGGTTGTGAACTTAATAAAGATGTGCTGCTGATTACGATGTGCGTTCTTTAGTTTATTTAATGAACCATACATTTGTTTATTAATTTATTTACTCGTTATCCATTCAATCATTCATTTATTCGTTCGTTCGTTCGTTTGTTCGTTTGTTCGTTTGTTCGTTTGTTTGTTTGTTCGTTCATTCATTCATTCATTCATCAGTCATCTATCTTTCTTATTTAATCCAACCTTCACTCATTCTTTATCCATTTATTCATGCATCACACATTCATTTTTGGTTTTTCTTTCGGTCGTTCGTTCGTTCGTTCGTTCATTTATTCCTTCCTTCATTCATCCATTTGTTCATTCATTCATTCATTTTCCCATCCATCCATCAAATTGAATCATTATCTCGTTATATTCACGCCACTACGACTCTCTGCACTTCTCAATTACGTCATTTTAGTGGCTCGAACGCGGTTTTGTGCGTATCTACGCGCGTATCTGTAAGTGTATTTATTTGTATGTGTGTATCTATACGTGTATTTATCTGTATGTGTGCCTATATTTGTATGTGCGATTTTAGTATTGTGCATGTGTTTTTTGTTTGTTATGTGTGCATTTGTATGTGTACGTACTAGTATTCGCATACTATTTATTGTATGGTATGTATTTAAAAGCGAATTTGTTTGTATATGTCTGTATTTGCATGTGTATTTGCTGGTATTGTGTGCATTGCATGTGTATTTTTTATTGGCATTGTGTGTGAAAGTTCGAATATGATCAGTTTATTTGATGGTTGGTTGCATGTTTTCAATTAGTGGATAAATAGATTGCTTGCAAAAATAAAAAGTTTTGAAAAATTTTATTTAGAGACAACAAAGGCAAAACGAAAAATAACTGTGGAAGAGTGGGCGAAAATATATAAAACGGAGAGAGAGAGAAAGAGAGAGAGAGAGAGAAAGAAAGGAAAGAGAGGCAGAGAGAAAGAGTGAGAGAGAGAGAGAGAGAGAGAGAGACATTGATGATGAAAAAGACGGAGAGGATTGCAGCATGTGTTTGTGATGTTCTTATGAGAAATATCATGAATTTGTTCTCATATCTCTGTTTTCATAATTTTTGTTTTGTTTCTGTTGTCTGTTCCTGCTGTGTGTGTGTTGTGTTTGTGTGTGTGTGTGTGTGTGTGTGTGTGTGTGTGTGTGTGTGTGTGTGTGTGTGTGGTACGTGCACGTTGTATGCTTACATGTCTCGAATGTCAGCTAGAAGACATTTCTTCAATTTATAATTCAGTCTTAAATTTCATGAAATTATTTGCAATGGCTGCGCGATGCTCATGATGAAGAAGATGATGAAGATGATGATGAAGAAGTAGATGATAAAGATGATGAAAATGATGAAGAAGAAGAAGATGATGAAGATGACGATGTTGATGATGACGACGACAATGATAAAAATGATAAGAAAATGATGATGGTGATGACAATGACAGCAAGATGATGATGACGTAAGGAGGATGATGGCGCAATGATGGTGACGTGATGACGACGATGTTGATGATGGCGATGTTGATGATGACGATGGTGATGATGACGATGGTGATGATGACGATGGTGATGATGACGATGGTGATGATGACGATGGTGATGATGACGATGGTGATGATGACGATGGTGATGATGACGATGGTGATGATGACGATGGTGATGATGACGATGGTGATGATGACGATGGTGATGATGACGATGGTGATGATGACGATGGTGATGATGACGATGGTGATGATGACGATGGTGATGATGACGATGGTGATGATGACGATGGTGATGATGACGATGGTGATGATGACGATGATGCCGATGTTGATGATGATGATAATGATGAGAGACGAGGCATGCAAGAGATGCTCGTTCGTGCTCGAGAAGGCATTATATCTTCTCCTTCGTCCATGCAAATCTTAAAATAATGATGACGAAGATGATGATGACGACGATGATGGTGGTGACAATGGTGATGATGACGATGGCGATGACGACGATGATGATGAAGATGACGAAGATAGAGACGATGACGACGACGATGATGATATGATGATCATCGTGATGATTATGATAATGATGGATTTTTGATTAAATGATAAAGATGATGATTGGCTTGATTATGCGAATTGCCAAAATTCAAGATAGCGTTACGCAATTGGCTCTATATAGATATTGTTACAATAAAGTTTTTTTTCAACCATGACGTCATCGTCATCATTTTCGTTGCAATCATCATTTCATCCTTCCAATCATTACTACCGTCGTTCCATCCTGTTCTCATCTATCACTATCATCATCTTCTTCTTCTTCCTCCTCCTCTTCAGCATCATCATGGTAACGTCTTTTTTTCCGGAAGCCAAACTCTGCAATATAAGCAGCAGCAGCAGCAACCCAGCATCTCAGAGCAATTGACTGATGCGTCTGACTCCGCCCACTCATGAATATTAATTAGTTGGTCGGCCAATAGTAATTCGACTTTTGGCGTCATTACGTTTCCATGGTTACTTGTTTTTCAGTCTTGTTCACTTTTTAGAAAAAGTTTTACAAACTAATGGTGGGTGATTTTTTAGCATTTTTCGCCAGTTTTGATGAACGAAGGAAGAGATTGGCGATGGCTGTACGAACATGTTCCATTGTGTCAGTTGGAAGAATTTTCCGGTTGAAATTTGTTAAAATCGTGCCAGGAAGAAGCGGAATTAAGTTTGCTACGTAGTGCACTGAGATGAGTAACTTTTAAAAAAACACACCACCTCATTACGTCATCAGCAGTGACATCACAAACAACAAAAATAATAATAATGACTGCATCATAAACAGCGAAAATAACATTGCGAAGATTTTGTATAACAAGAATGAGATCAATTACTAGTTAGACGCAGCGGTTCCTACTTTGAAAACAAGCAATACAGTTAACAACAACAACAAACAACTAACCAGACACGTAACAAAAAAACAACAACAGCGTAATGGAAAACACAAACTCTATAAAACTCAACAACATCATCAACAACATCAACAACAACAACATAAACAACAACAACAACATAATGAACAACACAGCAACAAACGACAAGCAACATAAAGAAGAAGACGGGGAAGAAGAACAATTACAAAGACCTGCTACTGCGCATGTCTCGGAAATGAAAGCTGATAGGCTGTAATGAAACTTCATGCCACCATGTTTACTTCCGGGAGAGCTGACGTATGCAACATGTCATTCCTTCACTCTTTCTTTCTTTCATTCCTTTATTCATTCTCTCTTTCTGTCAATCCTTCTGTCATTCTTTCCTTGTCTGTGATCTCCTTTTTTCGTCTTTTGGCGTCGTTGTTGCTCCATTTTTGCGGTTCCTGTCAAATGGTCTATTGTTTTTTGTAGTTTGTTTTTGGTTAAATTTTCGCGTTGAACTTTTACGTGCCCCTAAAACTTTTTCCTCTTAAAGTTTCAAAGTTATCTACATTACTCAATTATGTATACAAATATGTATACATACACATACCTATATACACACACATACGCATACACACACATACGCATGTGCACATAAATTTTTATACATACATATATTAAAAAATGTATTTTTGTATGTTGTATGTGTATCCGTGTTATGGTTATGCGTGTCTATTAATTTTTCTCGTACGTTTAATGATACGTTTGAATGTGTGTGCTTGTATGTTTAAGGATGTGTTTGAATGTGTGTGGTTGTATGTTTAAGGATGTGTTTGAATGTGTGTGGTTGTACGTTTAACGACCTGTTTAAGTGTGTGTTTAGAGGGATCTTTGTATGCAATGTAATGCGATATTTTGTTTGCTTAACCTTATTTACTGGCTTGTTCTTCTCTTTCTTTATCTTCCTAGCTTGTTATCATTTGAACACACAAACACTAACACTCACTCATACACACACACACGCACACACACATACAAGTATTCATACACAGACTCGTACATATAAATACTCACGCACATACAAACAGTTGCAAACATTAAAGAACCTATTCACATTTATGAAGCACCGTGATTCCGAGCAGAAATACTTACACATCCACACCACAAAAAAATACGACACACACACACACACACACACACATAAAACACGCACACGCACATACAAAACACACACGCACACACATTCAAGACGCAAACGATCGCTCCTATCTAAATAGCATTCACACGCCACTGAACGATTGAATGAACGGTAAATGAATGATGGCGAACTTTACGAGAGTGGGGGAAATAAAAAGAATAAAACAACAAATGAAAGAGAAAGAGAGAGAATGAGAGAGAGAGAGAGAGAGAGAGAGAGAGAGACAAAAAAACTGAAAAAACGAGTCTGTTTAAGAGAGATAAGAATGAAGCGTGTTCGTTCGTTCGTTACGCTTGGATTGAAAATGTATGTAGCGAGTGCTATGTGCCATTCTCTCTTTCCATGTCTGTGTATTATATCGTACGTTCGCGTATAAGTGCGTGTATTTATGTGTAGGAGTGGGTATTTGTGTATATAAATGCGTATTTACAAGTGTGTGTTTATTTTTCTATGTGTGTTTGTTTATTTTCAAGTGAGGTTTTGTTAATAAATTTAAACATTTTATACAAACAAACAGCCATAAACAAACACATACATACATAAGCATACAAACAAACGTAAACATACAAACAAATAAACAAACAAACGAATATTAAACATACAAAGGTTTATCTGGAGCTGGCAAGACAACGATAGCGTTTGCACTGGAAGAATATTTGGTCAGTCAGGGAATCCCATCATACAGCTTGGATGGCGATAATATAAGGTTGGCATTAGACATTTAAACTTCTTGTTCTTTGTTCTGTACATTTACGTCATACATCAAAAAATATAAAATGTAGCGCTGTAACGCTTCAACTAACGAGAAAAAAACACATACAAACATAAGCATACAAGCAAACATTAACATACAAACAAATAAACAATCAAATGAATATTAAACATACAAAAATTTATTATGTAATATAAGTTAATATAGGCTAAGATTTTATGTAGCAATCACTATTTCAACCACCATAATCATCAACCCAATTGTTGGTATAATCATTGCAACCAACACTCCATCACTCCAACAACATCAGACATGGCTTGAACAAGAACCTGGGATTCAGTCAGGAAGACCGCATGGAAAACATTAGAAGGATTTCTGAGGTGGCCAAGTTGTTTGCTGACGGGGGCATCGTCTGCCTCACCAGCTTCATCAGTCCTTTCAAGAAGGTCTGCGTTGTCGTCGTGATGTTCAACATTTGTATGGTGGAAAGACCGGCAATGGTGAAAAATGGTGATGGTGAAGATATTTGTGATGATGATGACACAAGCACTTACACATTCACACAAACACACGTACATACACCCACTAAAACACACAAGCACTTACACATTCACACAAACACACATGCATACACCCATTCAAACACACAACCACCCACACAATTCTACAGGACAGAGAAATGGCGCGAAAGTTGCACGAGGAGGCAGGGCTTCCGTTCTTCGAATGTTTCGTGGACACCCCGCTGGAGATCTGCGAGAAGAGGGACGTGAAGGGACTGTATAAGAAAGCCAGGGCCGGGCAGATCAAAGGTCAGGGACAGCACATTCACAACTTTCTTTTCCCTTCCTTCCTACCTACCTCATTAAAATTATGCCACGTTGTCGTTCCATTACATTTTTTTTCTTTGTTTCGTAAATTTCAATAAAATTACGCAGCTCAGCAGACATGAGCAAAACAAAAGTTTAAAGGCAAACAAAATATACACAAAACTCACAATGCATTGAAATGAAACAACAAACATACAAAACAAACCTACACAATATACAAACAAGCACATTCACATACGTGCAAACAAACAAACAAACACACACACACAGGATTCACTGGGATTGACCAGCAATACGAGAACCCGCCAACTCCTGAGATAAGTCTGAAGGCAGGCGAGTTGACGGTGGACGAGTGTGTCCAGCAGATGGTTGAGATGCTCTACACCAAGGTTTCTATTTCTAAATTTCATTCAATATGTATTACAGTACAGCAAACACACACACACACACACACACAGGCACATACACAGGCACGCACGCAAACATGGGGCCGGGGCGCGTTCTTTATTCTATACTTGCGTCAATTAAAACCAAAAATTATAAAAACAAATAAAAGCAATCAAAGCGGCAAACAAATAAACACAAACAAATACACATAAACAAGCGCAAACATACAAACACATACAAACATACACAAACATACAAACGCAAACATACAGGGACTTCTACCAGTATCCGTAATGAGTACAGTTAAGGAGTTGTTCCTGCCTGAAGCTGCCGTGCTGACTGCTCGGATGGAAGCACGAGATCTCCAATGTCTCGATATTAATACGGTACTTTGAATGATTGTTTGTGTTTTTGTATTTGTATGTATGTTTATATGCATGTACGTTTGTATGTTTGTTTGTATTTGTTTGTATGTCTACGTACAAACATACAATTAAACAAACATACACGCATACAAACACCAACTAACATACACACACGTATACACACACATAGAAAAATAAATACCTCTGTGTGGACGTTGTCATCTGTTTACATTGCAGATTAAATGCACGGCAAACAATCCATCATTTAGATTCTCCTTTGCCGCTTGTACTTGCATGCACGTCTGTGTATTCTGCGTGTATTTGCGTATAAATGGGTATTTGGGTGTATAATGAAGGGCGTATGCGTATTTTTTACGCGTATTCGTCTAAATGTAGCATCTTCGTGACGTGTTAGGTAGGCCATGTTTTAACGACATCTCCTGCATCTCAGAAGATGTACTCGAAACAAAAATACAAAGTACACAAAGTACACAATTAATCTATACACTACGCAATGTACTTATGATTCAAAAAACATACACAAAGCAAGGAAAAATAAAAAAGAGAACAAACAAATAAACATAAATAAATACCTTAAAGCACATTAGTATCGATTCTCTGAAAAAACCGGCGATGCAACTAATTATACCGACCGGATAATATTTCCGAATGGATGGCAGTCGGTCGGGTCCGTAGTCGGTCATTCGGTGAAATGTTTGTTTAATTATCTCACGCACACAGCCGTCAATAAAAAGAGAAAAATAATCGGGATTTATTTTCTCTAATTACATCCCGTAATTGCGATTTAATGCACGTACGCATCTAGCACATGTGCATGTTTATGTGTGTTTGTTTATGTGTGTTTGTTTGTTCGTGTTTGTGTGAGTGTGTGTGTGTGAATGTGTGTGTGTGTAATTATATACAATGTATGTTTGTGTGAAAAGAAAAGACTAACATTATTTTATATAAGCAGGAGCACATAAAGAAAGATTTTAGTTACAACTTCGGGCTAATACATCTATAAATTGACCTAGGAATTAATTTGAGGTGCCACAAATATCTTCTAATTAGTGTATTTTGGGTTAATTAGAAAGAACGTTTAATGATGATAAGATGTTTGAAAATTTTTTAAAATTATTATCAAGCTGATCTTTTTTCATCATCAATTCAATTGTTATCAGATTTTCATTATCACATTCTTTTAATCACTATGATCTTCATCCTCACAACCCACCACGCCACACCACAGCTCGATTTTCAGTGGGTGCAGGTGCTATCCGAGGGCTGGGCCAGTCCCCTGACCGGCTTCATGAGGGAGAAGGAATTTCTGCAGAGTCAACACTTTGGTTGTTTGCTGGAGGGAGGTACTATCAATCAGTCAGTACCAATTGTACTGCCCGTAAGTACCAAGGACAAAGAAAGATTGGAAGATTGTACGGCCATCTCTCTGAAGTATGAAGGAAAGATTGTGGCCATCCTGAGAACTCCTGAGTTCTATCCCCATCGTAAGGAGGAGAGATGTGCCAGGCAGTTTGGGACCACCCATAAGGGACATCCTTACATTCAGGTTGGATTAGCTGGTCACATGTTTTTCGTTTTTTAGCTTTCCGATTTTTGCGATTTCATTTTTTTGTTTTTTAAAAGTTCTTCAATCGCTTAAATAAATTTTATTGTTTCAAAATTATGTTCAATTGCTGAACAATCTTTTATTTGAATTTTAAAACGAAAAAAATAACGTTTTACACAAACACACTTTCAAGAATATCTTTTCATTCACCAGATGATAAACGAGAGTGGTGATTGGTTGTGCGGCGGGGACCTGGAAGTGATGGAACGCATTCGTTGGAACGACGGACTCGATGATTACAGACTGACACCTGCCGAGTTGAGAGCCCAATTCAAAAAGATGAATGTTAGTTCGGGCATTTGCGTTGATGTATGTTAGTAAAGAGAGATAAAATTGTGTCATGGAATAAAACAGTACTTTAAACATCGTCAGCATCTCCATCAACATCATCATCATCACCATCAACACCATCATCACCAACAACCACATCATCATCACCAACAATCACATCAACATCATCATCATCACCATCAACACCATCATCACCAACAACCACATCACCATCAACACCATCATCACCAACAACCACATCATCATCACCAACAATCACATCAACATCATCATCATCACCATCAACACCATCATCACCAACAACCACATCACCATCAACACCATCATCACCAACAACCACATCACCATCAACATCATCATTAACACCATCATCACCATCATTACCAACAACCACATCACCATCACCAACAACAACATCATCATCACCAACAACAACATCATCATCACCAACAATCACATCACCATCAACATCAACATCATCACCATCAACACCATCATCACCAACAACCACATCACCATCACCATCAAGGCGGATGCAGTATTTGCGTTTCAACTACGTAACCCAGTCCACAACGGGCACGCCCTGCTGATGCACGACACGAAGAACAAATTGAAGGCGAAGGGGTACAAGAACCCCGTCCTGTTACTCCATCCTCTTGGTGAGGCCTTTCATTTGTTGATTCTTAACAGATTATAACCGTTTTTTTGGTAAGCTTTTCACTGAGCGTTTCTTCCGGAGTGTATTTTTACGTTTTGTTATTGCTTGTCATTTGTTGCATGGAATTTTTCATCAGTCAACTTCAAATTTTTAAATTTCATTCAAAATGAACATGCATTTGTTAACAAATAATAATAACAAATCAACATCTAATGCGGCAAACAGCAACAGTAACAACAACAACAACAGTAACAACAACAGTAACAACAACAATAACAACAAACAACAACAAAAATAGGTGGCTGGACAAAGGATGACGACGTGCCCCTTCCGTGGCGAATCAAACAGCATCAAGCCCTGCTGGATGAGGGTGTCCTTGACCCCAAGTCCACTGTCATGGCCATCTTCCCATCACCGATGATGTATGCTGGTCCTACTGAGGTCCGCGTCTGAGTTTGTTTTTATATCTGTCTCAGTGTGTTTGTATGTTTTTGTATGTGGTTCTTTGTATGTTCAGTTGCATCGAAAAACAATTTCATATCACGTAAGTTTTGAAAAATTATGATATCTTTCGCAGTTTCTACGTTTTGCTGCTACTAAAGGATGAAAAGTATGATGACGACGTTGAGTTATTAATATAACTTATTGAAAGGCAGTGAAACGAATTGATTGAAAATCAGGTTCAGTGGCATTGCAAGGCTCGCATGGCGACGGGCTCCAACTTCTACATCGTTGGGAGGGACCCGGCCGGCATGCCCCACCCTGACACCAAGGAGGACCTCTATGATCCCACCCACGGAGCTAAGGTCAAGCACTTCTACTTAGATCACAAAATTAATATCTACTGATAGAATCTAGATAAATATGGTCTTTACGAGATTTTGCTACGTTTTATCCAAGTAAATTAAATCAATTTACGTAAAAAAAATATGCTCTTATTTTTACATTTTTACAATTGTCAGTAGTAATCATTACAAGAAAACCATATTTTTATTTTCTTTTCGATTTCCAGATCATTTCTTTTCATTGATATCATTTCTTTGATTTCATTGTTTTGATTTGATGAAATAAAAAAAATGTCAAATGTCAATTGCTACAAAAAGTGAAAATAACCTCGCACGCACAAAAAACACACGTACACACACACCTACCTACACATATACACGCACCTACCTACACGTACACATGCCCCTACTTACACAGGTTTTAACAATGGCTCCAGGACTGACCCAACTTGAAATCGTACCCTTCAAAGTGGCCGCATACAACTTGAAGAAGAAGGCTATGGACTTCTTCGACCCCAGCAAAAAAGATGACTTCCTGTTCATCTCCGGCACT